GTTTTGAAAAAGAGTAGGGCCATGAGCATGGCGCGCAGACATGCGTACATACTGCTCGCGGTTATCTCGCGAACGTTTACCATCCGGCAAAAACTCCTGCGCAAATCACGATTATAATACAACGCCCATCGTGGGGAAGTACAATGGAAAAAAGATCCTTTATTCTTTTTTTTTTTGCCCAACCCTGAAGGCCGCAAACGCATGCTGTTCCTGTGTGGCTTACAAACTTGTCAAGTTTGATGTGGATATTTCGAATGAAAAAATTTCTTTTGAAACAACTGCCGAGCGGAAATTTTATTGATAATTGAGATACTTGTAATTCGAATGAACAACGAAATTGGAACAGCAACTTCGAAATAATAGGCTGACTATAATCGACTTATACTACTTAACTTTGTAATTACTCTAAAATTGTTCAAAAAACACTAATGAAATGTTAAAAATTCAGTGTTATTCGAGCACGAAAACACGTTACGATTTAAACTTCGCGACATCCCGGGTGTACTTTCAAAAAGTAATGCATCAAAATCACCAACTGGTATTCCGACGGTAGGCGGGTAGGGCATCTGAAATCCTAATCGCACCAAATGGAATTCCAAGAGGCGGCACACATATTAGGGATTAACATATTTTCCTGAAAGCTCGCGCGCTCGCTGGATTTTTCTCGGCGAGCGCTGCTGCCCCGCGCATACACGCGTCCCGCACATGCGCCCACTTACGTCCGGGCGTATTTATGTAAATGCAGCCGAGTATTTATAGCGAGCCGGCAGCGCTAATTTTAAAATATAATGCCCGCACGAGCGCACTGACCGCAACTTGCCTTGCTTCTTATGTGAATAATTTTAGCGAGTTTTAATACGATTGCATTGTAAATTTTAGTAATTTTCAAGAGAACTTTTTCTCTCTTTACTGACACTGTTGTAGAGAACGAATTTACGACGTATAGTTCTCGTTACTCTAAATCCGTTGAAAAAACCTCTTTTTTTCCTTTCAACTACCTCGTATCCACAGTAGAATTGTGAAAAGAAGAGGGGTATTTGCTATTTATGGTTTGTTAACGGAGCACCAGTACAGCGTGGATTTCGCGACCTCGCGCTGCCGAAAACGGCAGGTTACATTTTGCAAGAATAAATCCGAATGGTCAAGTCAAACACACAGCACAGAGCGCGAGTCCGGCTTTCAATCGGATTAAACATAACGTTTCCGGCTATGCAAATTCACGTTGGTCGAAACGCTCGCTTCGCTCTGAAATCAAGGTAATGCGGTCTCATAAAGCAATTACTTAGCCAGCGCGCGCGCAAAATGTTTTTCAACTGTTGGCGCGAGGACAGATCGCAAAAAAAGCCCACCTCCTTTTTCCTCATGGTATTATATCCTCGGGAGGGTTTGGTTTTCCACTTTCGTTAGCACGATTATGTGTATTCCTTGTTTTTTCTTTGCTCTCTCGCGTGCGTGCGTGAATGGAACAATGGAAGCGTACCCGGAGAATGTTGTGTTTCTCTTCTTTCTCGCTTGTTTCCGCGAATCAGCATGGGAAATTTATCATGCTATGTTTTTGTCGGCTTTCCTTTTGCACCTCCGACAGTCCGTGATTTTTAGTTTTTACCACGGGGATATATATTCGATTGTTACGTGCGTTGCGGCTGTTATTTCTTTCCTTTTTTATATGAGTTTCACGTGTTCGCAGTGTGTATTGTTTTATTCCGTTGGTATATAGCCTGACAATTGAATAGATTGGTTTTTATAACGAAAATTATAGCTTTATTCGATTATACATAACTGAATAACATATATCATTGCAAGTTGTTTAAATTAGCTAGAAAACAAAAATTGGAATCGTCGCACTTAATGCACATGCGTATTAATTTGGGCAAATATTAACGTAAATTCATTAGAAGTTTGATGCCAACGCCATTCAGTTGCGTTCTCTTACAACTCCCCGGTGGTAAACTGTTTAATGAAAATGTTCATAGATGTCAGTGAAATTACATGGTTGGTATTTTCAACTTTCAATGTAACATCGCTTGTGTAATGTAAATCGCGTAATTTGAATTATTATCTCTAGCATAACGTATAGTATATAAGCATAGTATATAAAATCAGCTTTATACTCGCGACGTTGCGATTTTGAGTCCACAAGACACTAAGCAATAAATTTCAACGAATAAAAAATCATCAAATAACGCAAATAGAGTCCAAATTCCAAAATTAGCCGGCATATCAATACTTCGGACAAGGAGCGAGCAGCATTTGCTTTTGCCGCCGGATGTATTGATTTTCATGTCAGTTTTGATAATTTATCACGATGTACTTGCAAGAGAGAGGGAGACAGAAAGAGATCTCAAAACAGCAGTTCTCTCGACGGATAGAGAGAGCAAGAGCGAGAGAGAGAGAGAGAGAGAGAGAGAGAGAGAGAGAGAGAGAGAGAGAGAGAGAGAGAGAGAGAGAGAGAGAGAGAGAGAGAGAGAGAGAGAGAGAGAGAGAGAGAGAGAGAGAGAGAGAGAGAGAGAGAGAGAGAGAGAGAGAGAGAGAGAGAGAGAGAGAGAGAGAGAGAGAGAGAGTGAGTGAGGTCAGGTCAGCCGCGTGTAATTTTTCAATGAGCTCTACACCGCGGTCACGCTATGAATAGAATTTCAATGCGACCCCTTGAAATTTGTAGCTGGATATACTGCAACCAACAGCTGCTACTAGCAAACAACGACGCCTTGAATAATATCGTGTTGCATGATTTTTTGATGGATCGCGCGGCTTGGGTGCAACCGCGGCTGGATTAGTATCTTTGATGACTAATTTGCGGGTCGTAAAACCCTATTGGAATTTCCATTGGGAGGCACTACCGGTTTTTCAATGTCGTTTTTACGCAAAGTAAATTATTCAACGGCACGTCTGGAGTGTAAAAGGGAAACGGCTATCTTACAAAATCAACCGATACGATAAGTCGAGCAAAATCCAGATAACGATCGAAATACATGATCCTACAGTTTGAACCGAAAACCAGCAATCCATCATCAACAAAACTTCCCTTTGCCTTCACCCCAGTTTCTCAGAAAATGAAAAAGAAGTAATTCAACGTTGACTACTAAATGAACACACTCGAATGAAAAAGTAGGCCATCCCGTCGGGGTAAATTGCCCCGCGCTGCGAGTACGAGGTAGAGAGGGAGAGAGAGGGAGAAAGAGAAATTAAAAAGAGAAGCGAAAACGTAAAAAGACGCCCAGAGCTACGTAAACACACGCGTAGCTAGCAGCAGATGGATCGCGAGACTTTAATTGCTCGCGCGCCAACGAGAGAGTCGAGTAATTTTAGCGACGCACTTGCTACTATATGCGCTTGAAATTTTTAAAAGCCGGCAGAGTTTTATCATTGGAGAGGAAAGAGGAAGGGAGTAACGTAGAACCAAGCGAGTTTAGTCAGATCTAATTTTCAGCTGACAATGTTTTGCATATTAGTTTGTGTTGCATTGGCGGCGTCCTCCTCAAATATTTAATTTAGTAATGGCATTTAGAAATTGTTAATATTTGACTTGTGCGTTTGTAACGCAGAAAATGTTGAAAGTTAATATCGTAGATTTTCTACAGATGTAAGGGTTTTTAATATGCCTGAGTAAATATTTTCCACGTATAACTTTTTTTACAAGACATAAATTCAGCTGTGTATAGGCTTTTTGTTGGTACCATGAATTTTGAATTTATGAAAAATTTATTTGATCTCGGTTACGTGAGTGATCGGAATCCACAAGCAATGCTCTCGAATTTCACATAATAATCAGATCGGAAAAACCAAGTAAAGAGCGAAACAAAGTGATAACCTGTTAGAGCCAAAGGCTACGTCATTGAGCTCGTAAAAAGGCTACTCCGAGTTTTTTGTCGTTTGGTAAGGCCGTAAAGAAAGAGGCGCTGCCGGTGATAACATAGAAAAAAAAAGAGCGAAAAATGTAGCTACTTCTAGGTTTATTATAAGGCCGCGCGTATATACACTTTTAGCAAATGGGCGGCAAACCGAGGAAGACGACTACTCCAGATATATATTCGACCGATACTTATCTCTTTCGTGCGAGGGCGCGTCTTTGTTCGCGGGGAAACGTCGCCTTCAGAGCGAGAGAAAGAACGAGAGCGGTTTCTCTTTTCTGTGTGTGTGCGCCTTTTGTCGGGACTTTCTTTGATTCCCATGCTTTCCTGGAATTTACGATTTTTCTCCGAGTTTCACGGTTAAGGGAAGACGACGATTGATGCTGAGTTTGAAAACAGTTACATCGTAAGATTTCGTAAGTCGGAATTGATATCTGAAAAAATTGATCTGGTTATGAACGGGAATTCCAAGGGAATAAGAGTGAAACGAATTATTTTGCGTGAATTGAATTTTATGACGATCAATGGCCTACGGCAACAATTCATTAATAACCTTTTCCATTCAAACCATTCAAATGTTCCTTCGATTCTATTGGAAAAGTTACAAAAGATATTGCAGCTAACAAATAACGATCAGAGCTTCGACTTCCTGTTCGAAGACGAAGCAAAAAGTTGTAAAACATACAGAAAGCGGATAAAAATAGGAAACACAAAACTTTTCTCAGCTAGCGGTGATCCCTTCCCTTCGTCCTTTCCAATCCTTTCTCAATCGCCTGGATAAAAGATAAAGCCGTTGGACCTTGTGGCGGGTAATTACGTCGAAGGAAAAATCTTTCCTCCCCTCGGAACCAGCTCGGAACGTGATTTTGACAAATCTCTCTCGACAGTTAACCTACATTTATTCTCAAAATCTTCTTTTATTCTCCTAGCGGTGTATTTTTAAATTACCTACAAATTTGCGGATTTCACCTCGAATATTCAATGTTCAGCTTCCACGGAGGGATATAGAGTAATTGCTTGCGAGGATCGTCGACAGTGTCGGGACGAGCGTGAACTCGGCTGGGCTCAATGCGCGATGTAAATTTTTGTCCGATATTCGATATCTCGACAGGCGAATCCGCGGTGGTAGCATAATAAATTCACGGTACTCACTGACTAAAGTGACGAAAGGTACGCTGTGCTGCTGGTAATGTGGCGCGCTGCAAGCCTCCTCGGCTCTCGATACTTTTGCCCCAGTCTGCAGCTCCACCACGTGTCCGTCCCTCTTGTAGTAGGCCATGCACATGTAGCCGCTGTCGCTGTGGAACGAAAATTGTTGCCATTCACTGATAGTATTGCAGAAGGCCATTTCAGCGATCCTGCATCTATAGCGCAGAGTCGATAAATTCATATAGGGAAATTCCGAAATTTGGAATAATTTCCTATTGTTCCGCGTACACACGGCGAAGCCCGAAAATTTAATTACAACCAACCGCTGATGAAACTTTCATGCCGGAAACTAAACTGCGCCAGTGCGCGCCTTTTCAATCATGCGAGTGTAATAACACAACTAATTGGAAGTACGATAATTACGCGTTTGCCTCGTTCGCCCTTCTCTCTCTCTCTCTCTCTCTCTCTCTCTCTCTCTCTCTCTCTCTCTCTCTCTCCCCCACCCATGCAAATTGCAGCATTTCATTCCGCCTCATCAAAAGCAAGAGGGAGAGAGATAGAGCTTTGACTAGGTATATAGCGTTCAAAAGCAAACATATACGTATGCACAAAACGTCCACCGTTACTGTAATAAACCTCGGCTCGCACACACGCGCGCGCGTGTATATAAAACGCAGGGTTCGCGATATATAAAGTTTTACGCGTGGCATTGTTTATATGGAGTCTCAGCTCTCGAGTAGTACGGCCGTATTTCATTTTCGGGAAATGACGACAACGGGGGAGGGAGTCGCGGTAATGCGATATAGATTCGCACGACGTGAGATGGGAATTGGATATCAATCGATATCAATCGGCGCGGCGTTGCTTTGCTGGGGATTTTTTTCGGCTCTCGAATTGACTTTTATTGGTTATTCGGGGATATGTGCTCGCATTAGTGACATAAGGCGCGAAGAAAAATTGAATTACCGCGAAACGAAAGAAACGAAATACACTTGCGTTCCTTTTGGAACGCGAATTACTTGTCCGCGTGTTACGGGAGACGAATGACATTAATGAGATTATACCATACTTCGGATGTCGCAAATATACACGCCATTATCAATTTAGCGTTTGTACATGATAAATCAAAATGAGTAAAGTGGCATGGATTGCTGAAAGATCGAATTGCGCGAGCTCGTATAATATCTATTAGTAAACATTGCAATATGATAATTACTTTGAATTAAGCCAGCAGCAGATATGGATTTCCTATTTCCCATATGCACTTGGGCGAGTTGTTAATCATTGATTTTCGGCGCCGACGCCGGTTATTGATTTTCAAACGCACGGACTATGATCAGTAAGGGAACTTTGAAGAAGACGGGCAGCGATGAACGATGTGATCGTTGAGAAAAAGCAATACTCACCATCCAACGGTATAATGCGCGACGATCATAAAGACATTCTGCTCGACATCGGCAACTTTGACGCTATTACAAAGTATCTTGACGTTATGTTCCTCTTGGCCGGGCAAATTGAAAAAGTCAGTGACCTCGGATGAGCTCCTCTCACTGCCGTTGGATCTGACGGTGTGCAGCGACGCGTTGCTCGTGTGGAAGGTGTAAGAGCGGCTCATGTCCAAGGTGTGCCAAGTGAGGCTGGTTTTACCCGTCAGCCAGGATGGGAACCAACACTTGCCTGGCGACGATGCTGTAATTGAAATTCGTTGCTCGTTTAACATGCTCTCTCTCTCCGCGTTAGAAGCTGAATAATTTGTTGCCTCTCGGGGGTTTAGGAGCAGCAGGAGGAAATTGATTGCATGACTATACTCGGAGCAGAGAGTTCTTGGGGAACTACGTGTGCGTTCGCGGAATTCACTAAAATGGACTGATGCTGGCTGTTTGCTGAATTATTAATGAACGGCGAGCTTGGGCACGGCCGCCGCTCGGTCGGATCGTCCGATAAAAACAACGCGAAACGATGAACGCTCGCGCTCGCGCGGAATGAAAGCCCACTCTGGCCCTTTATTTTACATATCTCTTTGAGCGACACTCGCAAATCCTTGGCGCGTACGCACGCGGCTCGAGCCTTTTCAAAATCTCAGCTCCTTTTTTAGCGAGTCATTGAAATCAGCGGCGCTGGCGGTCCCGGCTCATCCATCATAATGGCCGTCGCCGCCGTTGCGACGCTCGCTCGCGTACTGAATAGCCTCGAGAGTCGGAAAGCCATGAATCGCTTATCGCCATACCCCGATGCCTGCCATTGAATTACCGCTCTCGCGTAGATATCTTTCTGGGCTGCCGCCGGCGCCGATCATCCGTAATGCCATACATGGCAACTTGATGATTTTGGGGCTACGTGCTGTGTTTGTCCGTGTTGGGATGTGCCGCGATGACGTGTTCCCAGTGTGCTGTTACGTTGTACCCACAGGGAAACGTAACGTTTGTTCAACACGAACGAACGAATGATAATAATTGAAATAGTCGCGTTGTCGTAAAAATCCCAGTGTGAAACCCAGTACATCATTCTTAGAGAAGCTTATCGACCCAACTGCGCAAGTTCAATTATCAAGTCTGTCGCTATAAACGCAAAAGCGCATTCAAGTTTTATCACACTTTACATTACTTTGAATTTACTGTAAACCATAAAAGCTCATGCAAAATTCGCCTCAAACGCAATGCTCGACAATTTCATTCGTAAAGAAAGGAAAAAACTCCTCTGGAGTTTCTGATTTTCGTTTCTATGCGCTATACGGCGCGGTACGACGCGTTACTTTATAGCGAACAAAGCGTCTCTGCGTCGAATTGGCGGCGATAAAAAATCGGCAGCCGCAGTAAAAATTTCATCAGTGAACGTCGCCGATCTCTCCTCTCTCTCTCTCTCTCTCGTGCGGACTTTTGTAACCTCGACTTTTATATGCGACTGTTTTATTGTATGCAGCGTTGGGGAATATGCGACGATATTTTCAAGTTTTACGGGGCAGTTCGCTCGACAATGTGCTCGCGCGGATGAGAGTCATCCAACACGAAAGATGCACTTTCGGATTTTCTATGCATCAGGTATAAGATACGAAATTCTCAAGACATTTTTCCCCGAGCTTTTTGTATTTTTTTTTCTTGGAGATTTTACGCGCTCTTTTTTTTTTTAGGTCGACGATGATGTGCATTTTTCGAAAATTTGCAAGAACAGGATTTTTTTTATCGAGACTGCTCTGTGAAAGAGTTATAATTCTAATGGTAAACCAATTATTATTTCATCGACGATTTCATATGCAAACTTTTATTATTCATTATTATAAAATCAATCAATATCCCAAATAAAGAACAACACCTTTATTGTATTATTTACCGGAGAATTTCCTTCGGTAAAGTTCATTAATAGATAATCGACTTAAAAATTTTTATCAAATCACCTAAATTATTTGGTATTACGAATTGATTCCAACAATTCAATATAATAAAATACTTATCTTGGTAGTTTGGTTTGCGAAATTGCAAAAAGAGATTCCAAACATTATTAGGTGTTTCAATAGTACTTCTCATAAGCCTAGCTGTTTGATATTATGTTCAACCGATGCTGCTCAAATCAAGTGAGCAAGATAAGTGACAGTGATTTATTTCGTTGCATTGGATTAATGGCGTGAATTTGTAAGATGAAATAATTTTTGTTGCTTTCTATATCATCACAGAAAGCGATGCATTCTCATATATCTTATGAAATTTTCTTTTACACAACATAGAATTTCGAATATTCTTTGAGCCATCAGCAAAAAAGGAGAAGACGAAAAAAAATATTAGCGTGAACTTAATTAAATCAGTAATCGAATTACCATTATATCACCTCTTGCCAACCGATAATAAAATTCCACGTAGCAAATTTCTCGCTCAAAGGCATGGCTTCGCCTCAAAGCGAAATTTCGCCTGCACGCGAAAAAAGAGAGAGAGAGACACACACACACCTTTGAAATTCCGTTCCGTTTTACGAGCAACGTCGTAAAGGCCATTGTGTCACTCGAAGAGAGAGAGAGAGAGAGAGAGAGAGAGAGAAAGAGAGAGAGAGAGAGAGAGAGAGATACAGAGAGAAAGAGAGAGAGAGAGAAAGAGAAGGGAATTATCGAATATTTGGCAGCTCGTAAAAATCGCGCTAATTCGCGCGAGCGAGCGATAAAAACGAGGTGTATGGCTTTACGTGCGAGGATTTTTATTGTTTTTTTTTCTCGCGAGCGAGCGTTAAAGATGTTGGTACGCGGGGAAGTATTTCCCTGGAGCTCGTAAAGCTCGAGACATAAGTAACGTCTCTCTGGCCAAGTACCGGAATCCCCGGGACACGAAAGAGAGAGAGCGAGAGAGAGAGCGAGAGAGAGAGAGAGAGAGGGAGAGAGAGAGAGAGAGGGAGAGAGAGAGAGAGAGAGAGAGACGTGCGACGAGCTACGAGCCCGGATTAATTAGTTCCGCGACGGGGCAGGTTTTGAGTTTTCGGGCAAAGTCATTTAAGCACTGTAAAGGCGCACCGCTGTAAAACGGAGAATTCGAATTTCGAGCGGTTCCTTCTTTTACCTCAGACGAAATTGAAGCATTTGTTATTTACTGTTCTGGATTTTATTCTTTCTCTGTTATTTTTCTTTTCGAAACTGAATTTATCAAGTTTGTCGATAATTGCGAGATGGAGTAATACGAGTTTATGTTCTTGGAATTAACGAAATACGATATTGAGTAAAACGGGTAATGAAGAATTATATTGCAAATAATTACTTCGAAATACGAAGTCTATTATCTTTTAATGTGCAAAATGAGAAGTCGTAACCCAGTAAAACCTACCAATTATCGTTTTCCGATAACCAAAATAACCTGGCGCAGAAATGTCAGCTCTCTCGTACAATTTAACCAAATAATTGTATGAACACAAAAAAAAGGTCTCGTATATCTACGCAAGGAGAAAAAAAGTACGCATTCAAGCTATAAAAAATGCCAGGCCAACGTTTTTCCAACTCTCGTGCGCGAAAAAAAAAGCTTTGACACACGTTAAAAAAAAAACAAAACAAAAAAGAGCGTTGCACGACATACCAATCGAGAGATCGAACGCGCAGGGGACAATGCACGCACATAGAAATCGTTCGTTACGTTTCCATTGAAAAATTCCATGCAGCCGGAAGTTCTTATGAAGCCCCGTGTGCGCGAGAGAGCTTTTTTTTTTCGCAGTGCCGTCGCACAAAAGTCGTTTTGAGGACGAGCACGTAACGCCCGTGCGGCGCTCAGCATGACGGGATTCTTTTTCAACGCTTATCTCAACTGCGTACGACTACTACCTCGTTTATCCGCTTGTCGCAGAGAAATAATAATTGCACCGCCAGCGAGTGGGGATGTGTTTTTGTGTGTTTCTCGATGATGTGTTTCGAGATTGAGAGAGAGAGAGAGAGAGAGAGAGAGAGAGAGAGAGAGAGAGAGAGAGAGAGAGAGAGAGAGAGAGAGGGATTTCACTCTGTGTTCGTCGTAAACGTAAATATTCTATGTAGTTTTTCTTCTTGGAATAATGTTCTTACAAGAGGAACGAACATAGGCAAGGGAAAAAGAACACGTTGCATAAAGGATTTGAAAAAGTCACCTTTGGTAAGAGTCATAGTCCTCGAACCCTCCAACGGACTAAACAATCCATTACACGTAGCGTCACCACTCTGCGCGACCTTGTAGATCTCAGGACTACCCTCGGGCACGGGTCCGGCGACAACTTCATGTACAGTGGCGATACCAAGTGCCGCGGCGGAAGCTCGATTGAGACTGGTAACTGTCTGACCGCCTCGCTCGTAGACGAAGCAACGATAGCGATCCTCGTTACTCAACGAGTGGCCGTTATGTAGTCGGCCGACGAGATAACGATTGCTACCTTCCTTCCACGTCGCTAGACACTCCAACTCCTCGACTGAAAAGAGAAATAGATTCGAATGAAATATACGAATGTAATAAATAAACTTGAGCAGTGTCAAGATACAGCAAAATGCCCGCAGATCAAATCGATCTGACACGCGCTTGCATGCGCTTATCGAATTATTCAAATAGCAGTTTGCTTCGCCTTAAGATTCCCTTTTTTATCTCGCTTTCTCTCTCTCTCTCTCTCTCTCTCTCTCTCTCTCTCTCTCTCTCTCTCTCTCTCTCTCTTTGCCCCGTAGCCCAGCATCGGCACTTCCTTAAAACTCCCTTCCTTTGTGAGTGGAGAGCCCGAGCGTTTTTCATTTCCCTTTAACTCGCTTATCGCGGCGGCACGTAGTCTTTCTCTCTTATACGGAACTTGAAATAATCGGCGCTACTTCCCAACCACCGTCAAAGTCTTCGATAACAAGCGGCCCTCCCCTCCGTCGACGTCTATTTTACGCTCGTTCGACCAAAGTATCTGATCGCTGTAATGCCGCGGGAATTTATATATACCAGCGCTGAATTTAAGGGCACGATGATAAAGTACCACAGCCAGCGATTTATATTTGGCTTTTTCAAGCGAATGTATTTCTACATTTGCCGGGAGCTCACTGAAAACTGTTAACAGTCACTTTTGCATTCGATAACTGTTACTTGATTATGTATTATTCTCGTCAATTAGTGTTCCTTGATTATCAGAACTTAATTTACGTACACGTTCGAGAGCTAAAAACGAAAATCATGAAATAGTCCGTGGAAAAATGAGGAAAACACTGAATACATTTAACCACATAATGCAAGCGCTTTATCCGCCCGTATATAAACATCCAGGGTGCCAGTTTAAAATTTCCGCTCAAAAATACAAGGCACAAGAAAAGTTTTATTAAAGGAAAAAAAAACAAAAAAAAAATGAAAAAGAGAAGACGCAAGCTCGCACAGAGGCACAGCATTCCATGCACGTGAAGCCGCCGGAATAAAATTTCATAAAGCCCCGGAGCACGGGATACCTTCTCCTAAGCAAGTCTCTCGTGCGCGCGTCTTTCTCTTTTTCGGACGTAATCAAAAATGAAAACCGAAATGTGTGCTCCGCGTCATTTTTTTTTTCTGTTTCTCTTCTTTTTCTTCGTCGTCGTCGCGCGACCGACGTCCGAGAAGTGCTTCTTATTTATGATCCAATATCCTTGTCACTTACCAGTTACTTTCCAGCTTTTATTACATCCAAAATGTAGTTGGGTTATATTTGTGTTCTTGCAAGATATATTTGTTTAAGATAACGAGATTTTTCTTTACAAGTACGAACTCACGTATTTGATTCGTTTGTATGTTCAGTGAATTTATTATTATTGGACTGTTTATGTTGACTCATAGCTTTGGTCTTATTAGTATTTCATTGAAACAAATTCTAATCATATCTACTCTTAATTTTAGAGGCAGTTTAACAAGAAAAGAAGGTATAAAGAAAGAAAACTGAATCTCAATTATGACACAAAATCACATGGTAATATTTTAACTATTACTCAATTTTTTAGTGAATTGGCATTTTTCATAGCTATGATACAAAGCCTCATCAGATTGAAATAACATCACTCTGATCGAAATTCTGCTTCCTGGCAATTATCTACCAATAAAGATGTTTTGCAAACTCAGCAAGTTCTCCACTTACTTTAGACAATTACTAGACCAAACTCAATTAATGCAAGGCAAGTCCAACGAAGCATCGTGCACTTAAAAAAAAATTCTCGAGAATTCCCAATCTTTCGTCCAATTAAGAAAATAGCCTCTCTCAGGCCTCGCGGCAACAATTATCGCGCAAGTCGCGCGTGTAAGTAGCGATGCTATCGCACCCACAGAAAGACAGAGTCCATTCTAGCGAGAGAGCTCCCTTCAACCCTATCTTTTTTTTTCCTTTTTTCTTTCTTTCCTTTTTACCTTTCGTTCCTTTCTCTCTCTCTCTCTCTCTCTCTCTCTCTCTCTCTCTCTCTCTCTCTCTCGCGCGCGAACTGAGTGCAGAAAAGGATTTTACTTCTTGGTCTGCTAGTTTTTTCGCCGAAGGAGAGCGGGAGAGAAAGAGAGAGAGAGGGAGAGAGAGTTCGTGCTTTAACGCGCTCGAATTTCTTACTCTACTCTCTAAAGTTTCATTCCACGGGGCGGTGAATGAGCGAGCAAAGTTTTTGTTACCGCTGTAAATCAACTCTTGCTTGAGAGAGTACGATATCGTCGTTTACGTAATCAATATTGGTGAATTACTGGATGACATTAATCGTTAAAAATATTATGATTCATTATATTTAAAATGTAATTAGAAGAGATACTATGTCCAGTAAGAATTTTGGGTCATGCAACAAACGCTTTGTTAGTAAGAATAATAATTAAAAAATCTATTAACGATAAAGGCAACATAAAAAAGTAAAATTAAGATCGAGAAAAGGAACAAAAAAATATATACCGCGTAGGAAACGTAAAATTTGCTGTGGATTTTTTCCCCAACAAAAGAATCAGTAGTAAAGCTCGGCGTAACGAGCGGTGAAACGTAACGTTCAACCGTGTGCTCACGCTAGCTTCCTTTAACATTCAATCTCGTGGAGATTAAGCATCTCCAGTAGCAAAACTACGCCTTTCCTTCCAAAGAATTCACTAGAGAAAAGCTTCACTAAGATTACGCAGCCGCCATAAACCGACCAGCCCTTTTCAGCACTTTCGAGATAAAAAAAAGAAGAGAAGAAAGAATCTCGAGACCGCAAGGAGCGAAAGAAAGTAAATCATAAAATAACCCTGCCGCGAGAGTTTGAAATCATAAAGTTCATCTTACATATATACATATCTTCGTCATATCTGTGGAGTGGGAAAGAGAACTTGAAGCTCCTTTTTTCTTTGGCTTAATTGAAGGCGAATTCTTAATGGTTCAAGAAACATAATTCGTGGAACTTTCAACGTATCCGTTTGACTTTTTTTAAAGGTAAGTAAGAGTCTGGATGGCAACTAAAGTCAAGTTGCACGTGGCACAAACGAGGTTAATTACTGTTAATGGCCTAGTATAATGAGACGTTTTCAATGGTAGAGAATTGAGCTTCTTTTCTTTATTTTTGATCGATTTCATTATTCTTTTCGTTGGCGTGATGCCAACTTTTTCCCTATTCATTGATTGGCCATTTGAATAATTGATATTTCACTTTTTGCGATAAAAAATACATAAGAGGAAATTCATAGGTACGCCAATATTTTTTAACGATTTGGTATTATTGCTAATATTTTTGAAAGCTTGGTTACCGTGTACAAACTCTTTCTCTATTAAAAAATGGAGGTATGTACAATTGTAAAGTTGAATAAATTTCATTATTTTAACTGCAATACAAGAAAAGAGTTTTTAAGTATTTTAATATCAAAGTTAAATAAAGTTTGTATTGACCTTTCAACGAATATACAACTACTTTTTATACAACGCGGTAGAGTCGACATAATTTTATTAGTTATTTGATAACTACGCGAGTGTATTTGTTCATAACGCAATATATATTGAAGCCATTGAAAAATCTGTATGATACCGTACCTAGAATGTCCAAATAAAAAAAACAGAGAAAATTCAACTTACCAGTACTCTCGGAAGCAGGGACATCAGGACAAGCCTGATACCTAAAGAGCAATCTACTCTCGTCGGTGCAGGTGTCGACGTTACTTTGTGGCACAGCACACCTGCCATGTCCTCGATTGTAAGTGAAGGTCATGGGTCCATGAAACGGGCAGGGTACAGGATTGGCCTCCTCGCGAAACATCGAGTAGAGAAGGGCGTCGCCGGTTATGTAGGAGCACAGCGACGACAGACTGTTACGCCCGTGGCAGTAGGCTGCAATCAGACGTTGCGACGTCACTCACTTGTCAGAACGTCAGTATACTAGCAGATACGTTAGGCATTGTTGCTGATTCGGCGCCTATGATTTGTGCGCGCGCGCGTGTGTGCACGCGTGCAGTTTGAGAGACGCGATGGGCACGAGTGATTTACTTTTCTTTCTGGCTGACTCGATTTCGACTGTACTACTGCCACACGTGATGGTCGGGCTTGCGCGACACGAATTAACTCGGCGCGAGTTCGTACAGACTACGCCCTTATTTCACTATTACGTGCTATTGATTAATTTTTTCGAAACTTTCGCCAATGGTAATTTATCGATGGGGATAGGAAGGAGAGAGTGACTCGCGAGGAAATCTTAAGGGAATTATTAAAAGGCACGCGCTCAATATTGCGGAATGTTTTATCGATAATGAAAGTCATAAATCACAGACAGGGTACGCTGGCGGCAAGGGACAGGTTGTCTACCGTCGTGTTTCTTTTTTCTTTTTATTTTTTTCTTCCGCTTTCGCCGTTTAAGAAACTCTATACTCGCTCGCTCGCGCTCTCTTTGGCTCGCGCTTCGTTAATCACCCGTGAATCATCGTTTTCCTAGCTCGCCGAGCGCTACTACCCTTCATTTAACTCAGCTCGTCACTCTCTTTTCAAAAAAGCTTTTTCCCGTGTGCGCGCACGCGCGATTTGTTTGTTTGATGAGCTTCGCTAGCTCATACCTTTCGCTTTCTTTTATTATCCGAGTTTGTTCTGCACTCTCACAGACTTTGCCTTTTTTCTTTTTAAGACGAACCTGTTATTTTTTTTATCTCCTTTGGTCTGAATACAAAGATGTACCGTAAGTTATGTGCTTTCATATAGTTGGTTCTAAATTAAGTAACCCATTCAAATTTCCTCACTTTAAAATTTTGTAAACATATTTCAAAACTTCAACAAAATTCACGAAAGTGCAATTTTCAAGCATTATTTTCGTAAGTTTATTCTCTGAAATACTGATGATAAGGATCGATTTAGTAAAGTAAAATCAATGCCTTCAAAAAGTTTACTGGAGATAAGAAACATCGTTCGAGCAAACAAAAAGCTATACTCCGCCAAAAAAAAAAGCTCGAGCGTATGCTCTCGATGCGCCGTTGCAGTCAATAGATTCCCGTATTCCCAACCACGCGCTGCTGCTGAGTGGAAATAAAAAAAAAGTAGTGAGAGGCGGTGCCCGAAAAAGTGCGATGTTGTGTTTTCCCTCTTTGGCTGCGGTATGACGCCGGCCAGATTAAAAGCCGATAAAAAAAGGGAAGGAAGACTTTGACAAATCGTTGAAAAATGCGCTCGCCTCCCTCAACTGGGATAACTCAGTTTTATTTTTTTTAGTTGCACTCGCGCGCTCGCGCGTCGAGCTGGAGTTCGTGCCGTGTTTGTTAAATAGCGCGATGCGAAATAAATGCACGCATACTACGGCAACCTCGAGCCAGACTCTATTTCTCTTATCTTATTCTTCGCTAAAAGTTTTCTCGCGGACTCGGTATCGCCGAGTGAGCTTGGAATTGTAAAATTTTTATAGACCGATCAGCCAACTTGATAAAGACGAGCAAGTCTTTGTGGCTCCTTTTTTACTTGTTGTTCGAAGTTATACGTTTCTTTGAAGAGGATTGAGTGAGTGAAGAAGTTTTCTTTTTGAGATGCGTGTGATGAATTTTGAAGAACTCTTATAGCTTTGAAAACTTTCCTTTCGAGACTTGAAGACGTCGATGAAACAAGAAAAATTTTAAGCATCAACAAGTTACGCAATAAACACATTTATCAAGCTACCCGTTGAGATTTGGGTTATGCTGCTCGGTTAAAAAGCGGACGAGATTTACGGTCGTCTTTTCAAGCAGCTTCTTCGGCAACGACGGCCCGATTCCAAAGAATTCCGCTTGGCGACAAAAATGTCGTGCTACGAGGAATTTTTCTGGCGCAGCGCTTTTTCAGCGCGCGCGCTCGTAGTATGCGAAATTCATTTTTTTTCAGGCCAACGTTCCCGTTCTAGCGCTTTGACTTTGTTGCAATAGAAACGAGTGTATAGTTTTTAATATCGAGATTTTAAAAGCCAAGCTTTCGATATACTACGTTGCATGTGTTATTGTTTTAAGATTTTGTCTGAAAAATGCTGCATATTCAACATTGAATTATTCGAGGGATGAAATGTTAATGAATATCATACATAAGTGTTTATTGGAGTGTAAAATAATTATTTTAATATGCTTATAATTCAGAAACACGATTCCATCCGAATGAACTTTCTTGTTAAATAAAATCAAACGTCTGTGTTACTGATAACAAAATTAAAAATTGCCCAAGGCATTAAATATTCATATTAACGTTTACCGAATAAGGTTACGTAATTTCTTGGCACATACCTAATCAATCGCGATAATAAAGTAAAGTAGATCAGCATTAGAAAGCATTATCATCGTAGAATAATATCGTGCATGAAAAATAAGGCCAGCTTAAAAATCAGCTCTGTTTTAATTTAAAAGTTATGAACGTGGCGCACGGTGCCATGCATAGCATCGCGTGTCTGATAAATCACTCTCTCATACAGGCACACCTGCACGTGAGCTTTCACGGTTTTCTTCCCGATCAAATTAAATAATGACAATACATAAGCATTCAAATTCCATTTCCCGCGATGAATTGAAAGAGTAAGAAAAAAAGAAAGCCCGGGGAAAAGTTAATTTGAGAACTGGTGAGAGCGAGGGCGAGCTTTCGTAATGATGTTTTTATCTCTGCGAAATGGCTTTACGATGCCACTAGCCTTTTGTAATGCCGTCCCCCTTTTAACAGAGTCTCTCTCTCTAAGCTTTTTTTTTCGTCACATAAATGCCCCGAGTATACTACAGTTCTGACCTCGTTTCAAGCGTGCGGCTTGTCGCTCCGTCTTTTTTTTTTTGTTTTTTTTTTTGTTTTTTCCTTTCTGAATATGTTATCTACGGATGCTGATTTTTCCTGGGCCAGTTGCTTTATTCGCCCTGTGTGTACCACGCATTTTTATGATATACGAGCGCACCAGCGACTCAGCTTTGAAATTCTGTTTTCAGTGGGATTTGGCTAGGGCCGAGAGTTAATGTTGACGCTCGTTTTCTGTGACGAGATTTCGAGCAGTGCGCTTTTTCTTAGGGGACGCAGTATTACTGCTGGAGTAATAGCGAGGATTTTTATGTGTAATATTCTTGTAAAGAAATGTCATTTGTGAGGGATTTGTTCTATTTCAAGCTTCAACGAATCGCCATGCGTAAATAGAATATATGTTTGCATTTTTGCAAGCGTCTAATTCATTTTTAATTTGCGGTTTCATTAATTTTAATTTCAAGTGTTTTCTTTTTTTTATGAGAAAAATCGATGCTCGTCTCAAAAATATTCGTAAAACATTGAAGCGCGAGGCCACGTAATATTACATTTTTCATAGTACGAATTCTATGAAATTTCAATATGAACAGCGATCGACACATTCTCAATTAAAAACTGTCAGCTCATCAAATTTCAAATTAATTTCCTTTTTTCCCCAAGCCCGTACGGAAAAACTCATTATCTCGGGTATTCAATAGCCACAAAAAGGGGGTAACTTTTTTAATATAAACATTTTACTGGTCGGTTACACCCCGAATTGTCGCGCCAAGTTGTTGATGAAAAAAAATTAAATCTTGATTCTTATTAATACGTTAGAGAAAACTGTTTCCCCCTATTAGCAAGTCAAAAAGTTTTGCCGCTGAATAGTGCTGGTCGGTCAACAAGGTCGTTAACTCTCTCACTCTCTCCTCGTTGAAATAATCACACGCCCTACTCCCTTCGATCCGTCAAAAGCTTGGAGCTTTTAATTAACGGTTCGCCGATATGGCATAGCACCGCCCCCTAATTAAGCACTCAACGTATGTGGAATGTTTTCTTTCATTTTATATTTCACGCATATGCACGGCGCGACTATGTACATGTGTTTGAAATGACGATGACGATGGTACGGCAAGGTATGTTTACTCGTGTGTATTTAATGATGACAAATGTATAACGTATGTTTCTAAACTACATTTCATATGTGTGTACACACACACACGCGCGCGCGGGCGCGCTCACGCACATATATTTCGATACTTACTTTCTTTGTACTGAAGGACATTGGCGTGTTTCTCGTGGATTACAACGCAACGGTAGCAGTTTTTCCTGAAACAAAAACGAAAAATTTGAGTTGTGACTAATCTTCGCTAAAAGGGTTTCACGAAAAACAAGACAAGAGACAGAGAGAGAAGAAGAAGAAGAAGGCAACAAGCTTTGTACTCTGATGGCAGCGAATTTCGTGGCCCCGTGCAGAAATCGTATAGTTCCGATGAAAACGTACGAGTATTCGAGACGTTACCTTCCCGGTTGGCCGTTCATTGGCGGCAATTTTGTTTGCGGTGCTATCGAATCGATTCCGTTTCCTCTCTGATTCTCCGTTTCACACTCTGATTTTATTCTCTCTCTCTCTTTTCTCTTTTTTACCTCACGAGCCCTGTTCTTTTTGTTTCAAAAACTCGTTCAGTTTGTGAAAGTCAATTGACCATTTGAAAGGTTTTAATTTCCAGGAATGATTTCTTACAATTGGATTGTTTAAGTGTAATATATTTATGATAGATCCGATCAAGTCGTGATTTAATTGTCAGTCTTCTAGGCCAACCAACTGACAAATTAATAGAAAGTAATTAGTTAAATTTATCTTGTACGTTTCTGATCGCCACACCTCCCGTCAGTTTTTAATCCATTATAAATTAGTAAAATTTCAATCAATCTCAGGTCCATCAAATAGGACCTGTACTCAGCTTGTAAACCAAGCAAATACGGACGTCAATCAAAACCCTTGCGAGAGTACGACTTTTGTTCCACAATAATCCAGCGCGATGCATAAGGACTCTCGACGGATAATGAAATCTACGTTTGCACGAGACACAATGAGAACAGAACACGAGCAGAGCTGTCGGAATCAATTAACAGATGTGTGCCAGTACATTTGGAGAAAAAAGTGTGCAGCGCTCGAGGTTCTACTTGAAGTGACGGAGATTTATTTTCGATCAGTTTTTAATACGAGAGATAAGATGAATAAAAGAGAAAAAAAGTGACAGATTAAGTTTGAAAGATAATAACAGTTCATTAGCATCTATTTTTTGATTCTCGAGTGGACTTTGAAAACGCAAAATGAACGATCGTTGGGATTCTTTTATCTTCGTTTATTGCTGTTTACAAATAAATAATCTCATTTTTATGTAATTAATAGAGATTTTAAGGGGATCAGCTGGTGTTAAAAAGTGAAAATTATAAGTATTATTTATTGTGTGTAAAAATCGTTCTTATAAAGTTATCATTGTAAAGATTTTTTAACCCTGAAGTATTAGGCAAGTGCTTTCATTTTATTCTTTTTCACTCCGAAACTCTCAATTTAAGATCCTAGAAAGTCCTTTTAAAGGTAATACCTTATTTTTTAAAAGATATGTTGCCATGCTTTCCTGAACGTTAGTAATCAAAAATCATTTTTGAACTGCTCATTTTCCTTCTTAGAATTTTTTTTAAATCAATACTTTAGATAAAGTAAAGAATTTTCTTGAATAGTAAACTTTTGACCATTTCTATGAGAACTTTCTCAAATTTATTTAAAGTTTTTTTAAAATATTCTAAAAATTTAGAAAAATCCTTCATTGAATCTGGAGTACTGATCTAGAGATAGAAAATGATCTATTCAAAAATGATTTTTGTTTCGTCTAACATTTAGAAAAGAGTGTAGCAAGTCAATTTGGGTCTTAAAAAAGAAAATGAAATCATTTGCTAAGTACTTCAAAGTGAAAAAATATTCACGATGATAAGTTTTTAAGAACAATTTTTACACCACAGTAAAGAAAATTTATAATTTTCACTTTTTACGCCAATTAGTCCCTTTGAGTCAACTCTGCTTATATATAATAGCCAAGTTCAATTCGTATCGGTATCAATTCTACATAAATTTTTTACTTTTATTTATTCAACTTAATACTTTCTTGAATTTAAGAAAACATAAAACAGTATCTATTAAAAAAGACGATACAATGTAAACTTTCTACTGATAATTCAAGTGAAAAATAACTGATTCAAAATATTCTTTATAAAATGTTTTTCAGAAAATAAATAAATTTTATAAGAATTGTATGTTTAAGATTTTGTCTATTATTAAAAAATGATCAAATGTACTATTATGCCTTGAGTAAAATATTTTATGCTAATTAATTTTTTGTTTATTTTTTGTAGAAAGATGTAGTATCAAATAATATTTGATTAATTGATAAAATTGAATTTTATTTTTGGTGTTCAATAGAAAAGCATTTTGTAAAATAAACAAAATTTAAAAATTCATATAGAATCCAATCGTATAAAATCGGTATCTGTACGAAACGAACCCAGGCTTCAATCAATTAGATTATTTAATAATTGCTAGTTTTCATTAGAATTTATGTAGAAACTTTTCTATCCAGGCAAGTTTCGAATAGGAAATGTCATGTTATTAGTAACATAAAACTATGTGTATAGGATTTTGCGTTTGCTATTCATCTTCGTTATATACATGGAAACTTGATGTTAACGCGTTTTTGTATATTCTCAAATAACTTTTGTTTAGAAAGCTTGGCTTGTTCAACAAATATCAAGTAACTCATCAATCATAGTGTTTTTTTTATCTCACCGAAAAGAAAATGTGTGTACTCCGTTGGGAGAAAATATCGAACAATAATTGCAAATCCATGTTACAATAAATCCCTCAGAACAATTTATTACTTTCCATGACCAAAGATATAAAAAAAGCTTGAGTATATAGCCTGCATGATTTATGGTTGACGCTCGAATTAAAAGCCGAAACGGCGAGCGTTCAATTTTCGACTTCATTCGAAGCGATGAGAAACGTTGAGAGCGACTTCCGTTTTTAATCAGTCGAGTCGTTCTATATATGCTGCATCGTTGCTTGCGCTTAGAGGGGGATGAGAAAGAGAGAGAAAGAGAGAGAGAGAGCAATGTTCGTTACTTGCAGGACGAATGGGAAAATCGAACCCGACTGCATTCGAAGTCATAGCAAACCTTTCTGCCTTTCCATCAGAAAATAATTAGGATTTTCACGCGTCGACGAGTTTTCGATCGATGCTTGCTTGGCACTTTTCCCTCCCTCTATCCATTTCAAAATTTGTTTGCCAATCGACATAACAGTTCACAAAAAGAAGTTTAATCAGTCACAAAAAATAGAAGAGAAAAAGAGAAAACTTCACGTCCAGAAGAGATAAGACGAAACAGAAAAAATATATCAAGCTTTGACAAGTATCCAGTGGAAGATGCCACAAAGACATGTCACGCGAAAATTCTCATCTCAAGAACCACAAAGAGTGTGTGTGTGAGAGAGAAAGAGAGAGCATGTACACGTGTATACGAGAGTAGAGAGAGAGAGAGAGAGAGAGAGAGAAGGAAACAAAGACGATTGCGTGGTAAGACGAGGAGGAGGACGTTTGGCGCCGATGAGAAAAATCCCATGTTGGCTTCGGAACAACACACAGAGTGAGATACCGGCGCCGGCTTTTAATCCAGCGCTCAGAGAGTCGTTCGTTTTGCCCCCTCCGGGCGAACTCGAATTTCCAGTCGAACGGAGGTGATTTCGCTCACACTGCCTTTGTAAATTTTCACTGTCGGCCCCTCTCTTTATCTCTCTCTCTCTCTCTCTCTCTCTCTCTCTCTCTCTCTCTCTTTCTATACTGTCAACAAATTCGTTTGATATACACATGGCTATTGTCATACGTCGATGTTTCGTATACAGGACGTGGGAATTCTAGTATTTTTGGTCCGTACGTTTGTTTCTAGTATTGACTATGATTTGTCTTTTCGATATTTTTCTCGTACTTGGAATAGTAAAGCTGTCGAGAATAATGAGCTGTTGGACTTATTTTCTTTGTATTTTTTTAATTTTTATTGAATATCGCAAGCTCCTTAATTATTCAACTAAGAAGATTGCTTAAATGAATTAACACGACGAAGAAAAACAAAAACGAACTGAGTCGATTCCTAGAAATTAAAGTGTCAAAATTTTGGAACTCCTTGCTTTTGTCTGTGGGTAATATACTGAGTTTACCGCGGTTCCAAACTGCACGGGGCAACATTTAATTTTTTTTGACTGATTTTCTAGTAGCTTAGACTCTGCAGAAAGTCTGCTACTTTATTAATTATTATCGAAGGTTTCATCATTTTTGTATTGTCGTTTACTATCTACGATGTGTTCTTACACGAATTGAACTGATTTTTATTCTTTGTCGTGATCAATAAAATTGAAGATGACGATCCATTCTTCTTTGCTATAATGTTACTTTCTGCTTATGATTATAAATAATTAATCTACTTACTCATCCACCATTAGAAATTTGTCGCCTTCGTTGTGTAAACAAGTTCCTTTACTCGAAAGTACGTTCTTTTCTATGTTAATCGATTGGCGGACGCCACTCTGGAACCACGTGCCTTCCCATCGCGATGGAAACGCACATTCTGAAACAGAGAAATTTATTACCTAATTAGATGGACGATTTCTCAAAATTAGTCAGTCACTTTTTCTGTTTTATGCAGCAGTAAAAATTGTAATCGATATGTTTCGACAATTCTACATTTTCATTTTCTGAATCATTGAGTAGCATTCTCTCGAAGCAATGAAATGCGCACTGCAGCTTGATGGGAATTCAAATGGAAGAATGTCGTCAAGTGCAATTGCGTATGAAAGTGCATCCATCAAATATTCTTGGCGTCCTCAATCTAGCATCATAAGCGATCCATTACTCGCGTGATCATTTTTCAGCGAAAAATAAGGAAACAAAAACCTTTCTCCGAACGAATAACGGGAAAAGGGAGGAGAGCGTCATACAGGAAGTGACGGCCGAAAAAGGAAGGTAGGAAAATTTTCAATCGCGTTCAACGGCCTCGAGCGTTTCGATATGTAAATGAAAGAGGTGTATTTTTTTTCGGCACGACCGACCCCAGCCTTAGCTCGTCGATATTCCCTCGATATTAGGTTTTGCCTCCCTACATCTTTTTTTTTTCCTCCTATCGTGTCGTCCGCCAAGTGACTCGGGGTTTGACCGTTGCGGCTGATAGCAGATTAAAAGTCGATGGCAGAGCAGTTGTATACTTCCTTTTTTAATCTTTTATTCACTTCGTTGTTGGACGTACGTTCTTCCATTATCGTACGAATATGTATTATAACGATAAATTGACTATCTACCCTTCTGCTCGACGGTATAGCTTTACGAAAAATATCAATTTCCAAAATAACTAAAAAAACAGAAAGAGAGCAATTTTTACAGAAGCACAGCCATTTATCGCAAAATAAAGCGTAACGTCCGCCAAACTATCTTTGTTTCCAGAAATTCGCGCGCTTTTCAAAAACATTTGTCAAAGAGAGAGGGAGAGAGAGAGAGAGAGAGAGCGAAAAAATCTTTGCGTGTAACGAACAGGAAAAAAATGTCGGTGAACGCCGCAACGATTCGTCATTCGAAAACTGCAATAAAGTGCACATACGAGTGAGAGAGGGAACGGGGCAGTTTCCGGTGGAATGGCGATTAGTCGGTAAAGCAATCGATAGCAGCCGAATACGTCCCTGTGGTCAAGCCTGTGTCTGCGGTCGTTCCTTGTTTCACCAGACCTACACGATTGTCCCATTTCGTTTGCGACTTTATCCGACGACTACCACGGTGACTCTAAGGTTTGACTGTGATCCGTCGTAAAGATTTTTATGACTACGAGCTACGGGCTGCGCTTTCTAGAAAGCATTTTGCTTCAAATTCAGATTGTTCCGCTTTAATTGCTTGCATTTTCAGTGCCTTTATATGAAAATTTTGATTATATATATATTAAATATGTCGAAGTTAAATGAATAACAGCCTAATAAATGAATCTTGTTACCGAATCATCGTACGACGACGTGATTTCGAAATATAAGAGCGGGAGAGAGAAAGAGAGAGAGAGAACGTAGTCTAATTTTTCATTCGTATCAACAGACTCGAAAGAAGTAATTGCCTCGACGCAGGTTTTCGTGTTCTTACATGCGATCGATTTCGTTGGAATACGCGGCCTACATTTCGCTCTCAGTCTATTTCAGTTTCATTTCTTTTCATTTTGTTTTTACTTGCTCGTCGTCGACGACGTCGCACAGGAAATGGCGATTAGTCGCTGAGCGGTGAATTATGTCCTCGCGGATTTTGGCAGGGCGAATTCATCGAGCGCGGGCACGTAAAACACTCACGCGCGGAGGGGATTTACTCGCTTTGGCCAAATGAGCGGAGAATCGGTTTTTGCTATGCCGCGCTCTTGCTCGGCCGGTGCTCACTGTTTGCGCTTTTGTTCGTAAAAGCTCTGCACTCCGCGCGGTTAATTAAAAATCTGGACTTTTTCTTTCTCTCTCTCACTACTTTTTTTTATCAACGCTTTGTAAGCCAGTTTGCTTTATTGCTCTGCGCAATGCTCGACTTTTCAATATTGATTGTGCTGTTGAAAATGAGTTTGTAAAGTTGGATAATTGCGACATCTACTCGCGCGTTTGCATTCTTTGAGAATGAAAATATTAGATTAGTTAATTGAAGATTTCTTTTGTTCCAAGAAATGATTGAGTAATCGTATTCTACATTTAGAAAATTTCATAAAGAATGATAGAAATGCTTATTTAGAATAAGTATTTTATTAAGTGTCATTTCAATATCAGATTATGAGGAAATAAGCTGTTGTTTCAATGTAGATTTCACCTGAATCGTGCAAGTAAAGCAGAAAATAATGGTAATGTAGCTTGGCAGACACGTCAAGAGAGAGTAAAAAATGTTGTTTGCTGTTGCCACAATTATTTGTGCACTAGCAGCACAGTTTGGAAATAATTACTCCTGGCTGTGGAGCTGACAAGTTTTTGTAACAAACATCCGGATACAAGTTTCACATGTATGTAACAACTCATATAACACTTGCGAAAAGTAGTAGCAAAACAATTGTTTTGCAGAAAAAGATAGATAGCTTAAGAGTATTTCTTTGATAGAAGAAACGAACACATGGAAAAAAAAATTCTTTTGAAAATCCTAAACTACTGTTTTTTTCGTGCGCCCCTCATAGCTCCATTTTACTGTCGTGCCTTTAACGAGGCTGGTCGTAATTCAGTGTCACGTGACGTCGAAATTTCTTAATTAAGACGGCACGCGATTATATCTCCACTGCCATTTTTCAACTCACATGTTATGTGATATACTCACTGATTCTTGGGTCTCTCTCTCTCTTTCTCGCTCTCTTTGCTTCATTGAGTTAAACAGCCATGAGGTTTGGTAAGTATGAAATGTGCGGTCTGTGTTTTTTTCCTTTCTCTAGCTCTCTTTTCATTAAGAAGGGGTTTCCAAGGGTCATTACAATAACGAAAGTGCTTGGCGAGTTTCATGCTCGTACGCGCGAAACGACTTTTCGGAAGGGCTGGCGTAAGCAATCAAAATACGAGTGGGGGTGTGAAAGAACATTCAACCTATAATTAACGCGGCAAATATTTTAGATATTAATTCGCACCGGTGCGGCATTTTTGTGCCGTATTAAACTGAACGAAAAGTTATTTCAAAAACCCTTGCCGGGGGTTTTCGGCTAATGAGCATTTATTTACGGATTTCGAAACTTCTCTAAAGCTCTATTATTCGCGACTGATTTTTCGATTTCGAAAATGTAATTAGTTCTGCTATATTCGTCATGTGGTTCTCGGTATTGCTCTCGTAGAGTGAAAAAATAATTATTTCAATGTAAAAGAAATAAAGCAATGAATTGCTTGTGGAATAACGATGAGAATTCAAAATCAGATATAAAATATTTCGTGTTATACTCGTTTGATAATCTGATGATTCCGTTGAATTTTTTGAAACTAAAGTTCTTGAAAACTTGCTCCGCCGAAAAAAAAAACCAAAATAGGAAATGTCACGAGCTCCGCTTATAATTGTACTGTCACCTCTTTTGCAAAAGGGCTAACGAACCCGACAATCAGTGCTATCAATTTCCACGATGTAGCTCTGTGTGGATGATCGCTTTTTGCGCGACAATTCCGAACGTGCGGATTTTTTTTTCGATGACAGCACTCGATAGGAGTGTATAATGTCGAAAGAAGGAGCGAGTGAGTTTCCATTGCTACGAGCGGAATGTTCATTGTTAAAGCCCGAGATAGAACTTTTTTTTTTATTGCCTTGTGTGAAATTTTTTGTCGCAGGTGATGATTTCATTCCGTTACGTTCTATCGGTTGGTTGACTATGTCGCTACGAGCGTTTGCTCGTTTTACATTCTCTTTTATTTGCTTTTGTGCTGCTGCTGTTGTTATTGTTGAACATCGTCTATTAGAAAGATAAAAAAGAAAAACAGTTTCGTTCCGTCGCGAATGCTTGTAATAAACTTATCAATTAAGATAGGATACGGCAACGTGAAAATTATTGGAGGAGGAATATTGGCAATAGCTTCAAAGTCTTGCGAAAACCGCAAAAAAGAATCATGAGCGCGCGATCCTCTGGTTTCACGAAGCTGTACCATCTCAAGTATGCGGATATTAGTACAGCGAAGCTTGGGCTGAGGCTATATTTGATTAGTTCTCTCCAGCCAACTATGTAACTTTATAAAGTCTCGTCTCTCTACCTTCCCCTCTCACTTCTCTCTCGTGTATAATGAAATGAGCATTAAGAGCTAAGCTGTGTTAAGGTGACGAGTAATGCGAATCGAATTGCCCGACGCGTCATCCGTCTTCGCGGAGATCTGATTGAGCGATCGACGACTAAGGATTGGGAGAGAGACAAGATGTGCCTCGTTATATTGCCAGATTCCTCGCTGTCTGGCGGTTTCCACATTGTGTTCGTCTCTTTTCAAGTCTGCTAATTATGTTTGACGATGATGGTGAGGAAAATCAATACGCATACGCTCCTAATTTTCTTAGCTAATAAGTAACGCGAATACCTTTATTTGGACTTTTAATTGAAAAGAATTGTCTTTTTCCGTCTCTCCGACGTGGGTCGTTAAAATTGTCGATAACGATGGCCATTCAAAACGCGTCCCTCTGGGAAAAATGAAATTCACGAGGCAACGACTAGAGCATATGCGTGTCTGCGCATAGCTGACCAAAAATATTATCGAGGAAAAAGTGATTTATTGAAAATTGCGAATGTTTCTTGTTAAAAAGGCAAAATCCCCGACTGAAAAATTATTCCGTGCGTTCCATCGCTGCACGGGACTCAAATAAATTGTAAAAGTTTTTGAAGCAGACCGTTATCACAAGATTGAAATCTAGATAAAAATACTTTTATTTTATGTTTGTGAAGCTGAATATGTATTCTATTGGAAAACTTTTCGAGTATATCAACAAAAATTCATTTACACAAGCGAGTTATAGAGACACATTTAACCTTAAAAAAAAAACAGAATAGAAAATAATGAGGCCCGACAATCTAGCACCTGAGCTTGCGGGACACTTTGACAGTCGATGGGGTGGTGCGTGCGCGCCGCTGTT